TGAGGAAACTGAGGCTCAGGGAAGTCCCATGAGTCAGAAGCAGGATTTGAACACCAGTTCAAATGGATATGGATAACTGCCGGTCTACTTCCCTCCCCTCTGGCATTCCCAAAGGATGGGCTGGTCTGAAGTCAGTGCAAAACTGGCTTAAATACCTCAACTAAATATAGAGAGAGCCCCTGACCCCTCCTTTGTACTACCCAGCCTGGGCAGAAAGAAAACAAGAATGCAGCTCTAAGACCGCAGTGGATTGGGAAAGTGGGCAGGGAGCACATCCATGGAGCAGGAAGTCTGGCAGAGGGTCCCTGGCTGGAGTGTGGAAATCTGGCAGAGGGGACCCTAGCAGCTGCAGGGAGGACATGAGTGGCTTTGGGCTTGGCAGGCAGCTCATTTTACTGGGCAAAGGAGAAGCAAACACAACAATCCATTTCCCTCAGGACTTGATGATGCCCAATTCACCTGTTCCCAACAGAATGTTTTCAGCTTACTAGCTTTCACAGAATCCTTGCCATATTTGTCATTGCAGAGAAAGAGATTATGGGCTTATTCAGAAGGGAGGTTTGGAATAATATGCTTTATTTTTCTATCCATTTCCTTTTTACATCCAGGATGTTTGGACAAATGTTTTGGAGGATATTAGTTTGTTAACATATATTAAGCACCTCTGGCATGTAAGGTGCTGAATGTGGCACTTTTCATTTGTTGGTTATTTGAATAAAGCTTTGTATGTTTAAACACTGTCATCCCGAACAGATGATGCTGTTCTAGAGGATAGAAATGGTACCTGTTGTTTCTTTTGTCTCCCAAGGGCCTGGTTCAGTACCTCATACATAACAGATCTTCAGTAAACATGGCTAGCCTTTTAGTTGTAAGTTCCCAGAGCTTTTAGAGAACTGGATCTTTCTTGGTCTAAAGACTGGGAACGGATTTAAGCAATCACTGTGATCTGTGCTCGGTGATAACTCTCAGGTTTCTTTTGCTGACCAAGTAAGCAGGATCAGGTTTCCCATAGAAGTAGCAACTTCTCTGAGAAAGGAGGCAAAACATTGCATCCTTTCAAGCGCAATTCCTACAATCCAAAGTTCCTGATAGATTTTAGAACAGGGAGATCTATGGGTTAGAGGAAAGAACGCTCACTAGTTTTGGAGTCAGAAGACCTGGGCTCAGATCCAGACTCTGCTATTTATTACTTGTATGACCTTAGACAAGTCACTTAACCTCTCTGTGCCTCATCTAACTAGAATCCATGGTCTTTTCTATTTTTCATGCTATAGCCCCTTTGGCAGTTTGCTAAAGCCTATGGACCCCTTCTCAAGATAATGTTTTTAAATTCATAAAGGAAAATACAAAGGATTACAAAAGAAATCTATGATATTGAAATAGTTTTAAAAATATTAAAAACATAAATAAGTTAATGGAGCCCAGGTTAAGAACTCAGACTACATCATCTCTAAGGTCCCTTTTTGACCTTAGACCAAAGATATACATCTCCCACAACAAAACACTCTTGAATTAAAGAAAATCCTAAAAAGAGACATGGGGATTTGTAGTAACAAAGAAAGACTGGAAGGTGTGGGACTTGGTAGGTGGGAGCAAGTGACAGAATAGATAGATCAAAGAGCAAGCAGGTTAAGAATGAATGATGATATGTAATGTAGCAGAAAGAATACTAGACTTGGAGTTAGTTCCTATCCCTGCCACTGACTTTCTGAGGCACTGTGGATAAACTGGTGAAAATTTGTCAACTCAGCCGATCAACAGATTGTCTTCATTAAAAAAATATATATATATAAAATCTACCCTGGAATCTGTTTGGCTCGGTCAGAACCCAGTCTTTATTTAGATCTGGAATGTGTTCCCTGGTGTTTTTGTTTTACTTTGCTTCTGTTTTTACATTTTACTATATTTGGTTTTAGTCCAAATTGGAAGGGAATTCAGAGTCCACCTAGACCAGCCTATATCTGAAAAAGGCTTTCCTTGACAACGTCATCACTTTGACTCCAAAACCTCTAGTGGGGGAGAACACACCACCTCCTTTATGGATAGCTCTAAATATTGGGACGTTTGTTTTTAGCTCAAGTTAAATTTGCCTTTCTGTAAGTTCTTTCTGTTCCTAGGTCTGACCCCTGGGGCCACGCAGAGCCAGCCTCATCCCTTTTCCCTGTAACAGCCCATCACATCCTTGAAGCAAGTTATGATGTCCTTCCAGGCTAAACATCTCCAGTTCCTTTGAGTGAGCCTCATATTGCATGATGCTGGACACTTCATTCTATCGATCACTTTTCTTATGATGCTTTCCAACTTACCTGTGCCCTTCCTAATGTTGAGGGTATGTCTGAGGGGATCATGGTTAAGGTTAACTCACTGATAAGCAGGTTAACAAGACAATAGGAAAAAGTCTCTGTTGACGTTATCTCCTTATAGAAGAGATAAGCACTTTCATTTGAGACCTTCTGGTATGATGTTTTCTTGATGGGGTTTGAATTCTCCTTGCCCTGAGTACTTACTGGACCATTGGCGCCATTTTAAGGAATAAATTTGTGCCTAATTTGAGGACATTTAGGCTATACTCTTACACTAGACCTCTAAAAAAGGAGATTGAGAACATATCAGAAAGACAGAGAGCAGAAAATCTATATACAGTGACACAAACTAAGGTCCCTGAACCAGAAGCCTTCCCATATTTAAGACCCCTCTGGGGAACCATGGGACCCCGAGGTTACAACAGCTGAGTAGCTAGGAGTACTTGGGCTAACTTGCAAGGATGTGAGGAGTGGAATGACAAAGTTGGATGGAAGGAAGGAGGGATTCCTTTATGAGCACAGGAATTCTTGGACTGGAAGAATAATTCCTGGACAATGCTGAGTTTCTGGACCAAGTCTTCTCAAGGACAATTCCTAGGGTAGGGTAAATGGAGCTTTGTCCCAGAGAGCTGACAATACTTACAGTTCTTCAGCACCTAGAAACAATTGAGCTTAGTGCCTAGTTAGCAAGAATAATTAAAGTTAGAAGTTGTCTGGTGGCATCCATCAGTACCTCAGGTAATCTTTTCTTTCCCTATAATCTTTCCTGCTGCTGAACTGAATTGTTCTTTTAAAAAGTCAATTTGAGGGCGTGTTTTGTACCCTGACTGCACAAACTGCTAGTTATAGCTCTATCTGGACTCAACCAGAGCCAGAGTTAAGAAGCTTCAAGGACCAAGGTCATGAAATGGAGGATCAAACCCATACCTTGTCCTTCACTGGTGTGGTAAGCTCTGCAGAATACACAGGCTCTAACCAAGATGGTCCTATAATTCCAGATGACTGTATAGCTTCTTGGGCTAACTGGAAGGATGAGTTATTTGAATCTCTAGCAGCCTTCAGTGTTTTCCCCAGGTGTGTTTTGAGGGCTGGGTAACTTAACCCTATAGTATAAATTTAAAGGACAGTATGAGTCCCAGGGGAAGATGGAAGGGAGGAAGAAGTGTGACAATTCATGGGCTCAGGTGTGAGTTTTTCTAGCTTTGTTTTTTTTTTGGGGGGGGGTGGTGTTAAAAAAATGTTCCGTATTTGATGTATTGTTAGTCTGAGTGCTTGCTTGGGAGCCAAAGACCCTTTTTTACCTTTTCTGTAGAGATCTAGGCATAAGCTAGAGTCTTATATCCTAGGAAAAATCTTTTATGGGGGCATGAGCAAAAAGAAAGGCATTTTGATATGTCTTCAAGACTTAGCCTGGTCCATGTAAATTCAAAGGTTTAGTTCTAAACCTACAGGTTACATTAAAATGTGGTATCCAGAACTGAATATAGTCTTAGGATCAATACTTAGTCTTAAATACTATACTACCCTTAATGAAACTTAAGATTGTATTTGCTTTTTTGGCCCCAGACTGTTGACTCATATTGAACTTTCTGACCACTAAAATCCCCAGATCTTTTTCAGAAAATAGTTATATAAGCCATACTTCTCCAATTTTGTACTTTTGACATTTATTCTTTGTACCCAAGTAGAACTTTACATTCACTACTAAAAGTTTTCTTCTTATTCCAGTTTGCCCAATACTTTAGTCCCTCAAGATCTTTTTAGATTCAGATACTATCATCCACTTTGTTAGCTGTACATCCCAGTTTTAGTTTATCTGTGAATTTAATAGGCAAGTAATCTATGCACTTATCTAAGTCACTGGATAAATCTCTTAGTTCCTCTGAGTTTCCATTTCCTCCCTTGTATATGTAGATACTTATACCAACCCAAGGCTCCCAGAAGGCAGGTGTAACAGGAGGAGATTCGGTGGATCATGCCAGTGACCACGATGGCATGTAAAGGGTAGGGGGTAGGTATACAGGCAGTTGCCATAAAAAGTCAGAAGCTTTAGGGAAATCAATCTAAATCAGTCAAACTATCAATTCACTAATACTTCCTATCTCTTGGCTTCCTAACTTAGCACTTGAATCCTTATTCCACCATCAGACTTTTCTACTTGTCTCTTCACTACAAAGACATTCAAGAACCAGCTGGTGTGGTGTCTCTGATTAATGCTTTCTTCCCTCCCAATGTGAATCCTTTCATATCAGCTCCAAGTAATAATCACTTTTGACTTCTGGCACTTAAAGTTATTGATGAGTTTCTCTCTCTCAGTCCTTAAAGTATTCATTTCCCTTGGACAAAGTCATAGAATCTCAGAAGGAATGTGAGTGAAAAAATATGTTCCTAGGCCAACCCATTCCTGAAAATATAGGGTTGAATAGTCATAGCTCCTGCTAACTAAATTTCAGAGATTATGGACATTTCTTTATAGGTTTAGTGACATTTCTGATCATTCCCAATTAGTGATCTTTGTTTCATAATAATTTCATGTTAGTGTAAAGAAGTTTGGTGCCTATACATACATACATACATACATACATACATACATACATATATATATATACATACATATATATATATATATATATAAATAAACATATGTGTATATACATACATATTCTTTTTTCTTTTTTTTACCTGCTTCCTTTTCAGGTGGCCTTGGCGAACAGTTTCATGAAATCGGGCCGAATGCCACAGCCTCCAGTCATAGTACCAAGAAAGTTAAAAAGGGTAATGTGGTACCCCACCCAGACATTTGGGTATCTTTTATTTAATATCTTATCAATTGAAAAACCTATTCTGTTTTAGAACCACAGAATCCTAGAAATACAGAATTCTTTTGGCAGGAATGTGGTTAAGCCAGGCAGCCAGCAAGATACGAAGAATCTGTTAGTAGTGGATTAGGGATGGGTTGATTGTTAATCTAGACCACTCAAAGAAATAGACATTAACATGAACCAAGCCTAGCCTAGAGAGATGGCACTGAAGGCATGGTAGGTGGACAGTGACCACACATGGGCATTGCTGGGTTTTGATTTAAGGGGATGTTTCAGGCTAAAATTTCTTTTCCACCTCTTTGTCTTTGTTACAAGTGGCTGTCTGGGATGCATTACCTTCTCACCTCTGCCTGAAAGAATCCCAGGTTTCCTTCAAAGCACAGCTCAGAGGCTACCTTCTGAAATCACTCCATGGTCCATGGACCCCAAGTTAATAGCCTCTCATCTATGGGGATATGCTTACTCACTATGAAAACAAATCCATGTTCCATTTGTCAGTGCCTAAAATAATGTGAGCCCTTTCACCTTCCCTAGTATTGGTGGTGAAAAGGATACTAATTGCCACTAGCATTTCACCAAAATAAATGGCTTTTAGAGAAGGCTTTCTCATTTCTGAAGGCATTTCCCTTCTCTTCCCTGTCTATATCTCTCCTGAATAATGTGATGAAGCCTGCTTGGCTTCTCTCCTGGAAGGACAAATTCAGCCTCAAGTGGCAAGGCACATAAGTCTCACATGAAATTCTTCCTATCAAAAAAAGAATAATAATGAAAAAGAAATACCAGTTCCCCAAACCTGAGAGACATCTGATTCAATTCAGTTCAATTCAACAACATTTATTATTTAAATGACTTTTTTGTGTAAGGCACTATTCTAGGAGCTGGGGATACAAGAACCCCCCCTTCCCCTCAAGGAGCTTCTACTCTCCTTAGAAGAAGAAATAGGAGTAGATTCTTGATTCCTTATAAAGAGTTAGCAGCTCTCCCTCCCAGATCCTCATATAAACTTTCCAAGTTAATTTCTCAACAACATAACCAAATTTTAATATTGGAGGCACCTTCCACTTTTCTTAGACTCATATTTATATTCCCCAAATCACCTTTTTCAATTTTCACCATCATCATCAAAATAATTAGTTTTTTCCGGTTTTATGTAAATGTATTCAACATTTTGCCTTCTCACCTGGTGGTCACCATCTATCTCCTGCGTAGAGGCCAAAAAAAAAAATCACTGTTGTTAACATTGTTGTTTTTATCAATCGTTCAATTTTTTAATACCCTTTCCTGGAATGCAGGAAAAGCAGGACTATCTATAAATGACTTTTCTTTCCTGTTCCACGCTCACATGTTGTCCAATCTCTTATGATGTAATCTATGTATACATGATACTGGTACACTAAGGAATTGTGTTACCTGGTGCTGAAAGCTAGTTGGCCACCTCTACACAGAGAGATGACAGCTGTTCAAACAGCTGCAAAGCCAAATCACTAATGGCAACCGGAAAAGCCTGAGGCTACTGCAGCCTCTCAAAACCCCTGGATTTAGTCTAGTTATAACTGATTACCCAAATCAAGATTAGCCCAGAGCAACAGGACTTAGCCCCTCAAGAGTGAGAGATGACAGTCCTCTCACTTGAAGATCTTTCTTTCTATGTACTAGCATGCACCGAGGGACGCTGGTTTGGTTGAAAAGGATAGGTGAAAAAAAGCCAGGGAAATATCTTGATCTGTGATATATGAAGGAATGACTGAATAAGCATTTGTTAAGTGCTTTCTGTGTGCAAAGCACTGAAGATATAAACAGAAAAGTGAGACGGTATCTACTCTATAGGAACTCACATTCTAATGGGGGAAAACAACAAATACAGAGACAGTTTCATCCACCCTAGGAATTTAGAGCTCTCCGGTGTCCAGTGTACTTACTGCAAGTCAAGAGAGAGGACCCAGAGGTGCAAGACAAGTGGGGTGGGCTAGGGCGACATTTCCATCCCTCTGCTCTCTGGGCCAGTGGGCTGGGGTGAGTCTGTTTTATTTGAATTAAGGAGAAGACAAGTTGTGTTTCACTCAGACATTTCCCCTTTAGTCACAACCTTTCCTCAACCAGGACCCCCTTCCACCACCCCCATAAGAAGAGACTTCACAAGTAGGAGAAAAGATCTGAGCCTCCCGGATTCATCTTTCCCCTGCTCAGCTGCGGGTTTATTTCCTTCTATTATTCAGAGCCTGTCAGCCCTGACCATAGTGCTTTGCTGGTCCTGGCTTTCTTTGAGAGCCATAAGAAGCATCCTCGTCCTTCAGAGACACCTGGCAGTTTGAGGGATCCCTCTTGTGTGGAGTTCAGGGCTCAGCATGCAGTTTTGAGTTTATAATTGGATTAACGAAATGGAGTGTGTAACCAGCCTCCCAAATGAAGCTGTGACTATTTTGATAGCATTGGATTTCCATAACCATATTAATAAGAAGAATGCATTCTGCAGTTTTAAAGGATGTTGTCCCTGAGAACTCCCAGTGCTTAGCCATATAACAGAAATGGGCGAGCCTGGTAGAAAGGGAGCAAAGCCCCAGCTGCCCCTCAAATCCACTGGAAAAAGCTGACATTTGGGGGCCACCCCAAATTTGAACCTTTGACTAACTTCTGGCTGCTCACACCTTTGAAAAAGAGTCTTCCCTATCCCATTCCCCTGAAGCCCACCTTTCATAGCAAAGCTATTCTGTGAATGCTATGGAGATGGGAATTTGGCCAAAGCGTTTGTGAGATTTCCCCTCCCGAGTTTGTAATGGTTTATCCAGATGGCTGGACCGCTGATGTATTTATTTCCAGCCAGTAAGGGAAAGACTTTCCCTTGATACAAGACTCAGGGCCTCACCTGGGAAAGGCTGAGACCAGACCATAGTATCATTTAGGGCCCTGCTGGGACTGAGACTGGGAATGAAATGTTAACTTATGATGGCAGCTGTCGCGTGGCAGAGTTTATGGGGGTCTGGTTCAGGAGGCAGATTCATTTGGATATATTTGGGCTTGGGGTGTAGCTGGTAGACTGGATCGGTTTCTTTTTGGGATGAGTTCCTTTAGTGCCAATCCAAATGCAGAGCATTCCGAGATAATGAATAAAATTATAATGGATTCTGATTTTCGAGATAACAGTAATCCAGGAAAATCCAATAATGACATTTGCATTAGGATCTTTTCCCAGCCTAAGCAGAACGTCTGTTTAGACATATTTTTAATCTGCAAATGCTTCCTGTGCTAAGTCCTCAGGAAGTTAAATTTCTCACTGGATCGAGTGGTAAACTGTCATTCACTAACTGATCACTGGAAATTATACCCCTTGTCTTTCCCCAGTTAGACTTTGAATTTCCTCATGTTGACTAGATGGTATAAGAATTGCCCCTGTGATTTGCTGTTACATTTCTATTTTGTACTATCTTCTGAGAAACAGAGGAAGCATTGTAGGTATTATTTGGCATGTAGAAGGATTTTTCCACCCCTGATTTTCTACTGAAGAAAGAGATGCAGAGGGGGCGGAGCCAAGATGGCAGAGTGAAAGCAGTGACTTGCTTGAGCTCTCCCCCAAACCCCTCCAAATACTCATAAAAAATGGCTCTAAACAAATTCTGAAGCAGCAGAACCCACAAAAAGACAGAGTGAAACAAATTTCCAGCCCAAGGCAACCTGGATGATTGATCAGAAAGGTGTATTGAGCTGTGCTGGGAGCGCAGCACAGTGTGGTGTGGGCACGCAGGCCGCAATGAACCTGGAGCAGGCCTCAGAGGACTGAATCGTGGGCAGCTGTGGAGGTTTCCAGACTCCTCAATCCACCAATGCCAAAGACAACTTAGAAGGTCAGTGGGAAAAGTCTGTTTCTGTCGGTGCTGAGAAAGGAAGGTGGGGTTTCAGCTCCATTCCCCAAGAGCATGGCCCTGCAGAGGGCAGCTGCTTTTGGAGCTTTCAGCCCACAGACTGAGGGGGAATCCAGTGGCTGATCAGAGAGGGATAGCAGGGATGTCTTTGCCAGTGCTGAGGCAGGAATCTCTTGCTTTGCCCGTGTGTGGATCTGGGTCACAGTTCTGGGCGGCAGTGCTGGGGTGAGAAAGGAGTGCTGGCATGGTGGAGCTTGTAGTGGCTGTAGAGAGGAACCCCTCCTCACAGTTACAAGACAGAAAGGAATACTTGTGGTCACAGGCCAGGAAAGGAGTAAACACCTCACCCCTTATCATACCACCTTGAAAGAACTGAAAATTTACAGGTCCCTACAAGTATCTCTGAAAACAGCTATACAAACCCCTGAAGCTTGGGACAGTACACTCTCCACATTGGAAGCAGACTCTTACCTTAACAAAGAGTTTAAAACTCAAGTAATTGGCTGGGATCATGAGCAAGCAGTGCAAAAAGAGTCAGACTATATTATCTTACTTTGGTGAAAAAGAAGATCAAAATATACAACCAGAAGAAGACAACAAAGTCAAAGCTCCTACATCCAAAGCCTCCAAGAAAAATATGAATCAGTCCCAGGCCTTGGAAGAGCTCAAAAGGGATTTTGAGAAGCAAGTAAGGGAAGTAGAGGAAAAACTGGGAAGAGAAATGAGAGTGATGCAAGAAAATCATGGAAAACAAGTCAACAGCTTGCTAAAGGAGACCCAAAAAAATACTGAAGAAAATAACACCTTAAAAAATAGCCTAACCCAAATGGCAAAAGAGGTCCAAAAAGCCAATGAGGAGAAAAATGCCCTAAAAAGAAAAATTGGCCAAATGGAAAAGGAAGTCCAAAAGATTACTGAAGAAAATACTTCCTTAAAAATTAGAATAGAGCAATTGGAAGCTAGTGACTTTATGAGAAATCAAGACACTGTAAAACAAATCCAAAAGAATGAAAAATTAGAAAACAATGTGAAATATCTCATTGGAAAAACAACTGACCTGGAAAATAGATCCAGGAGAGAGAATTTAAAAATTATTGGACTATCTGAAAGCCATGATCAAAAAAAGAGCCTAGACATCATCTTTCAAGAAATTATCAAGGAAAACTGCCCTGATATATTAGAACCAGAGGGCAAAATAGAAATTGAAAGAATCCACAGATCTCCTCCTGAAAGAGATCCCCAAAGGAAAACTCCTAGGAATATTGTAGCCAAATTCCAGAGTTCCCAGGTCAAGGAGAAAATATTACAAGCTGCCAGAAGGAAACAATTCAAGTACTGTGGAAACACAATCAGGATAACACAAGATTTAGCAGCTTCTACATTAAAGGACCGCAGGGCATGGAATATAATATTCTGGAGAGCAAAGGAGATAGGATTACAACCAAGAATCACCTACCCAGCAAAACTGAGTATAATCCTTCAGGGGAAAAAATGGTCATTCAGTGAAATAGAGGACTTTCAAGCATTCCTGATGAAAAGACCAGAGCTAAATAGAAAATTTGACTTTCAAATACAGGACTGCAGTGGAACATGAAGAGGTAAACAGGAAAGAGAAATCATAAGAGACTTATTAAGATTGAACTGTTTACATTCCTGCATGGAAAGATGATATTTGTAACTCATGAGAACTTTGTCTGTATTAGGGTAGTTGAAGGAAAGAATTATATATATGTATATATTGATAGATAGATAGATAGAGGGCACAGGGTGAGTTGAAGATTAAGGGGTCATATCTGGAGAATAAAATTAAGGGATGAGAGAGGATGATACTCGGAGAAGAAAGGGAGAGGTAGAATGGGGTAAATTATCTCACAAAAAAAAAACAGAAAAGAAAAGTCACAGTGGAGGGGAAACAGGGGAAGGTGAGAGGGAATGAGTGAATCTTATTCTCATAGGATTTGGCTTAAGGAGAGAATAACATACACATTCAATTGGGTATGGAAATCTGTCTTACCCTACAGGAAAATAGGGGGAGAAGGGGACAAAAGAGCAGGGGGTGATAGAGAGGAGGCAGATTGGGAAAGAGGGTAATCAGAAGCAAATACTTCTGAGGAGGGACAGGGTCAAAAGAAAGAATAGAATAAATGGGAGGGCAGGATAGGATTAAGGGAAACAGAGTTAGTTTTTCACAACATGTCTACCATGGAAGTGTTTTGCATAACTGCACATGTACAACCTATATTGAGTTGCTTGCCTTTTCAATGAGGGTGGGTGGGGAGGGAGGAAAGGGAGAAAATTTGGAACTCAAAGTTTTAAAAACACATGTTTTAAAAAAATGTTTTCACATGCAACTGGGAAATAAGAAATACAGGAAATGGGGTACAGAAGTCTATCCTGCTCTACAGGAAAATAGAAGGGGAAGGGGATAAAAGAAGGGAGGGGGGAGAGATAGAAGAGAAGGCAGACCAGGGGAAGGGGTATTCAGAATGCATGCCATCTTGGGGTGAGGGGAGGGATGAGAAATTTGGAACTCAAAAACTTGTGGAAGTGAATGTTGAAAACTATAAATAAATAAATTTATATTTAAAAATAAATAAATAAATAAAAAGACCAGAAAAAAAGAAAGAGATGCAGAAAGTAGGTAGGAAATTGTTTCATATAATAGGAGAAATTAACCCACACTCAGGTCTTCCCTACTTCAACCCGAGACCTGCCACCAATCCCAGCATAATGGCCTAAATTTACTACACCAGGAATGATTTTTGAATAACCCAGTTTTAAACATAAAAGACTTCATTTTTTCTAATGCCATCAAAAAGTCTTCTTCTTGGGGCAGCTAGGTGGTGCAATGGATAGAGCTCTGGCCTTGAAGTCAGGAGGACCTGAGTTCAAATTTGGCCTCAGACACTTGATACTTACTAGTTGTGTGACCCTGGGGAAGTCACTTAACCCTGATTGCCTCACCAAAAAGAAAAAAAAAACATTAAAAAAAAGTCTTCTTCTCAGAACTGATTAGAACTATTTTAATGTCTGAATTTAGGTGAGTGTTAGGAGACACTTCCCTTTTATCAGAGGCTAAGTATTTCAGGAAGTGGAATTGCTTTTGGTGTTTTGGGAGGTAGAGGATCAGCCATGGGAAGTACTCACATTATTTTCTTACAAGTGTTGATTTTAGCTCGTTAATGAGAAGGCTCAAGAGCTGAGGTGACTATCTACAATGAACATTCATTAGGTGAGTCACGAAGGTGGTGCTGGTCTCTCCTAGAGATAGGGATACCTAGTCATTCTAAGCATCTTCATGGGTGGCAGTGGTAACATTGGGGCTGTCTTTAAATGCCTACAACTGAAATGATGAGACTGTCTTGCAGGTGGCAGGCAGAATTCCATGCTTCCAGGGAGACTGAAGAAAAAGGGCCCAAAGGCTGCTCCCGGTAGACCTGTGGAGTCTTCGCCACGAGTCCGCAGGGCCACAACATCAAGGGCTGAGAGGATCTGGCCCGGAGGGGTGATCCCCTATGTCATTGGAGGAAATTTCACAGGTCAGTTGTTGTAAGAAGAGATGTGAATGTGGGGCTAGTGCTGGGATTGTAGCTTAGACTGATCCAGATAATAAGAAGCTGAGCTTATTCTTAGCAGGCTGAAGGATCTTCTGACATCTTTGGTGTAGGGCTGGGTACCATAACTTCTAAGGGATCAGTGGACAGATGTCAGGGGATCTGTAAACTTGGATGGGGAAGAAAAAATTACATCTGTATTTTCACTCATGTCTAACTGAAATTTAGCCTTTCCAGTGGACAGAATATTGGACTTGGTATTAGGAAGACTTGAGTTTGAATCCTGCCTCTAACACTTATTGGCTGTGTGTCCCCAGCCAAGTCCCTTAACCTCCCTCTGTGTCACTTTCCTCATCTGAAAAATAGGGGTAATAATTGTACCTGTCCCATAGGGTAGTTGTGAAGATCAAATAACCATGACCCAGAAAAGACTGGTCCAATGGAAAAAATGCTCCCTGGAGCCTGGAGACCGTGGTGCACATCCCACCCATGTTCATTCTTGGCCGAATAACCATGGGCAATCTAATTAGCCTTCATGAATCTCAGTTTCCTCATCTATGAAATAGTGATAGTAGTTGTACTACCTTCCTTATATTGCATGTAAATGCTTTGTCACCTTGAAAGAGCTATATAAACATGTGTTTAGAAATTCTCATTATTCCTCATGTAGAATGACCAAGAACTAGGACCAAGGAGCTAGACTAACTGTAGCTAACCAGTATAATAATACTTCAAGGTTCCTTGATTGGGCTGCTGTTTCTACTGTTACAGATTATGGCTTCACAGGGACCTAGTAGAGTTGCCATGACCAAAAATTCTATCACCCTGAGACTGACCTATTGATGTACCTCCTCGAACTCAGTAAAGTCAGTCCTTGGACAGCAGATAGACTCCATCTCTAGGTTTGTGCTCCAGGTGGACCTGCCAGAACGTTGACTGCACCTCTGGAGCCTTTGAGAATCCAGGGTCATCTTCACTGTGAGCCATTATTAGAGAAGGATTTTAAGGCAGTGATTGACCATATCCTCGGTCATTTCTGTAGAATGTTGACTGTCTCTAGCAGGATCGGGGTTGGAGCTAGTAGGGACCTCAGAGATCATTTAATCCACCCCCTTCCCTCATTTTATCAATGAGGGAACCAAGGATGAAAGGGCTGCTCTGACTTGATCAAGGTCACATGCGTCATGACAAAGACAAGCAGGAGTCAGATTGAGTTCTTGGGACTCCAAGTTCAACCTTGTCTCCTCTTGTACTGTGCTGCCTCTGGGTTATGTCACCTTCTTGACATTGCATAGGTGTGAACCCAGGATATCTGACTTCAAATCCAGCATTTCTTTCACTGAACCGTGTCAAAAGTCAATTCCATTTCAGGATGACCACTTCTAGGCGCATGCTGTCCCTTTGGAAAGGGCCACAAGGATTTTGTTGAAGTGAGAGTCTAACACTGGACTTTCAGGATACCTTTATATGTGAGAGAAGGGAACAAGCATTTATTTTTTTAATATATATATTTTTTGAATTATCAACAATCACTTTCATAGGCTTTTGAGTTGTAAATTTTTCTACTCCTCCCTTTCTACCTCCCTCCCCGTGATGGCAAGCAATCTTATATAGGCTATACATATACATTCCTATTAAACATATTTTCACATAAGGGATGTTGTAAGTAAGAATTAGAACTAATAGAAGGTACCATCAGAAAGAGGAAACAAAACACAACAGAAGAGAAAAAATAGCAAATAGTATGCTGCAATCTGCATTCAAATTCCATAGTTCTTTCTTTGGATGTGGATAGCATTTTCCATCATGAGGCCTTTGGAGATGTCTCAGATCCTTGCATTGCTGAGAAGAGCTAAGTCTATCAAAGTTAGTCATCACACAGCATGTCTGTTATTGTGTAGAGTGTTCTCCTGGTTCTGCTCACTTCACTCAGCATCAAACCATACAAGTCTTTCCAGATTTTTCTGAAGTCGGCCTGTTCATCATTTCTTATAACACAATAGTATAGTATTCCATTACATTCATATATCACATTCACAGTTATGATTACTATCTGTGTCTTTCCCTCCATCCTTTCCCCCCCATTTATGCTTTTCTTTCTCCTTTCTCCTCCTCCCTAATGTTTTGCTTTTGACCACCGCCTCCCTCAGTCCCACCTCCCTTCTATCAGCCCCTCCCTTTTCTTCCCCTTTGCCCTTCCTACTACCTATAGGGCATGTTAGATTTCTATTCCTAACTGATTATGTTATTCCCTTCTTGAGCCAAATCTGATGAGAGTAAGGTTTAGACAATGCTCATCTCCCTCCTTTCTTTCCCTCTGCTGTAATAGGTTTTTGTGCCTTTTCCTGTAATATAATTTACCCTGAACAAGCATTTATTAAGCACCTACTATGTGCCCAGCACAAATATAATCTCATCTGATCCCACAACTACCCTGGGACATAGGTGCTATTATGATTCTCATTTTACAATTGAGGAAATTGAGGCAAATGGGAGTTAAGTGACTTGCTTAGAGTCGCACAGCTAGTAAGTGTCTGAGGCAGGATTTGAATTCCGGACTTCCTGCATCCAGATCCAGTTCTTTATCCACTCCTGTTTCTTAGTCCATCAAAGGTTCTTACCAGTTTATAGGCCACCTAGATTTGGACTTCATATAAAAAACATTTTCTAACAGTCCAAAAGTGGGATCAGCTGCTTAGGCAATAGGCTTTCCCGTTCTAGAAGTCTTCACACAAAGGATGGATGATGACAGTGGGAGGATATTCTAGAAGGGGCTCTTGATCAGGTACAAGCTGGACTAGAATGACCTCTGAGGCTTCTTCCAGCTCTTAAGATTGAGCGATTCTGAACACTGTCTTTTGTGTCTACCAGCTCAGCATCTGAAGGGTTTTCCTATCTCAAAATGTGCCTTGTCTCCACAGTTTTGACATTCAATTCAATTCAGTAAACATTTATTAAACACCTACTATGTGCCCAGCATTGTGCTAAGTCCTGGGAATACAAAAACAGGGAAAAGACATTTGTTACCTTTTTAGGAGCTTACAATCTAATGTTAATTGGATAACTAAAAAGGAAATCCATTGAATTATGGATCTAGAACTGAAAGGGGGCCTTAGAAACCATCTGATCCAAGCCCCCTTCATTTTACAAATGAGGAAACTGAAATCCATGGAAGTAAGGGGATTGGTCCTAAGTCATGATTTGAACTTAGGTCTTCTGACTCCAAATCCAGTGACCTTTCCATTATATACTCCCTTTCTCTCAGATTCCTCACCTTCAGGATGAAGGAGGTGGACTAAAGGCTCTTAAGGACCCTTCGCAGGTCATCATTCTGTCATTCTTCATGCACTGTTTTCCCCTCTATCAAATGAGATCAGTGAACCTGCTCACTCTTCCAGCCTGCCCTATTAATAAAATGGCACACGATTGGGGCATCTTTGGAAATTAGATTACCCATTATCATCCTCATCCCCATCCTCATCATCACTACTCACATGTATATAGAACTTCAAGGTTTACAGAATGGTTCTGTCACAGTGACCCTATTCGATACTGCAAGTATTATTATTACCATTTTATAGAAGTGGAAACTGAGGCTTAGAGAGCATAAAGGAATCCTCTGTGGCCTCACAGCTAATAAATGGCAAAGCCCAGGCTCAGACTCTGGTCTCTTGATTTCAGAGCTATCATGTTCTCCACTAAATTATTTTTCCCACTAAACCATGTTATCACCACTCTCATTGAAACTTTGAGCTGGAACGGACCTTTGGGGGTTATTTGGAACCCTCCTGAGAGTGATCTAAAAAGAGCTTTGTTGAAAGGCCCTGGTTTTGTGTTTTAACTGTGTCTTTTCAGCATCTGGAGTGCTTTCCTGTCCCAGGAAGTGGCGTGTCATCATGGCTACTAACCTATTCACACATATGGTGTTTGGGAGCATTTTGTGTTTTAGGGACTTTTAGCATCCCTCATCTAGGTTAACACCCCTCCCCAAATGGAAAGAAAACAAATAATTGAGACAGTACTAAGATTTGTTCTATAAATTTATTTTTGTACCAATGAACTGATGTCCCAATTTTCAATTTTTGAATAATAATACTAAGAAAAACTAGCACTTACATTTGGTTTGCAAAATGGTTTGGTGTTTTAACTGTCTTTGGTTTATATATAGCATATCATTTGATATGAGAGTATCATCATACATGATGCAATGATATAATACATATATAATGGCATGTCATTAAATTTATATATGTATGCATCATGTTATAACATGATATATTATATGATTGAATATAATGTGAGTTAGTTACTACATGTATCAATACTCCCAGTTTTTCAAATGAGGAAAGTAAGACTCAGAAATATGAAGGCCTTTGCGTTTAATCACTACCTAGCAAGTATCAGAGACAGGATGTGCACCCACATCTTTTCTGGCCCCCAAACCAGTACTTTATCCAGCCCTCCATGCTGCCTTTCTGAATAGCCAGCTCCTGTCACCCTCTGCTTTCCTTCTTTTGCACCTCCAAATAGCTCCTGCTCATTCTCTAGAGCCTTCAGGTTGATGTCAGTTAACAGACAAGGCTTTCTTAAGTGCTGCATTGCCTCTCTAACAGAGTAGCAATCGCTGCCCTTTGTGAGATTCTTGTCTAAATGAATACATTAAAAGCCTGAGAAGCTAGATTTAGAGAGGATGTGAATACAGTCTTTTCTTGGGACATTTCATGACTTTTCAGTTCTGGAGTCTTTAGAAAAGCAAAGGAAACCCAAAGTTTTAAAAACAAAAGTTAAAAAGAAATAAGAAAAAAAGCAAAGGAACCAGAAATAAGTGTTATTGATTTTATTCAAGTGGTGTATCCAGAGCTCCTTGGACTCTTAAGATTTTCCTTAAGGCATCACCCTCAAAAAAATTCTCCTATGCTTTTATATAAAGTGGGGGAGGAGAACCAAGGTGTAACCCTTTAGTCTTCTAAGACTAAGTTTGCCTAAGGGCACCAGTAAAGTGGGGATACATCTGTCCCACTCCTAATGGTACCAGTATTGGGCAGGTGACGTACTTCCTCCTCCCAGAGTAAACTACCACTAAAAGGGAGTGAGCCCCAGCACATGACCCTGAGGATTCAGTTCCCTGCCCCCTCCTGGGGCCCTTTCCCCAACTATTGCACTGGTACGACACTCTGGGCCACTGGTCCACCAGCACATAGCCCTGAAGACCTGTAACACATAGGCTGCCCAGGATCAGGGCCCAGGAAGTTCATACTGACTTTGGGGGGGGGGTGGATTCTCAGGCTCTATTTCTATGCCCTCCCCTCAAATCAATTTGTCTCAGGTGCCAAAATCTTCAGGTATAGTTCTGCATGTTGGAATAAAATTTGAAATGATCTGTTAGAAATATCATTTTCATTATCAATGGAAGTTGAGAGAGCATAAACCTCTTTGAAAACTCTCTTTCCCTCATCATTTTCTTTAAAGTTAACCTCGGGCAAATTACTTAACCTCTTTGGGTTACATAAAGTCTCTTCCAGCTTTGAAATTTTGTCTGTTTGGGTAAGTGTATGGCTATGTTTAATCCATAAAACCCTTACAGGTTTGTAAATTCAGGAAAGTCTATCAATCAATAAACATTTATTAGGTGCCTACCATGTGCTAGGCATGAGTGCTAAGTGCTGGGGATACAAAAAAAGGCAAAAGACAGTCCCTGCCCTCAGGGAGTTTACTATCTAATGGTGTTAAATTTTGATCGAAGAATGTTGTCTTTTATGGAGTAACAATAGCATATGGTGACTCCTCGGGAAATGGGCTCAAGAATCATTTTAGGCAAGGTTACATTAGTATGCCTGTAGAATAAAATAGGATGAACTGGATTCAGACGCATGAACAAGGTAACAAATGAATGAGTGTTGGTGTTCTATTATTGTTTTAGGGAGCCAACGGGCCATTTTTAAGCAAGCCATGAGACATTGGGAGAAACACACCTGTGTGACCTTTATAGAGAGAACAGATGAGGAAAGTTTCATTGTGTTCAGTTACAGAACGTGTGGGTAAGTAAGAGAAACCAAGAAATCTAGCTTCATTTTTACAACCAAAAATTCTTAACGAACTGCAGTATATGAAAGTTTACCATTCTCTTTGTCAACATACCCACTCACTTGTCAAAGTCTCTCTTGAAATGCAGCACTTGGATTTAAACACAGAATTCTAGATGTTGTTCTCGTTATCTGAACATTCTAAGATTCTGTGATCCTAGATGAGCAGTAACCCAGTAGATTAGATCCTCCGTTGAGGGATGACTGGCTCACCTGGAGGGGGATATAATAAATGTGTTAGGCATTCAGTCTTTCCTGTCCATGATAGAAGTCACAGATGAGAACTCTATTTCTACCTGCTATCTGGGCATTTTGGGTCCATGTGTATTTGGGGAATGGTGAAGAAGGGGCATTTGGGTGCCATAGTTCTCAAGTAAATGGTGAAGAAAGACGTATGGGTTTGAAAGGGGAGAAAACAACATATAGAGAGACTGTGGGCAGCTTGGAGCCCTGGAGTGCTCATTTCCAGCTTAAATGTGTAGTCTTCTCCTGTGTACTTAAACAAATGGTTCACTGCCCTAACATCTATCCCTCTTCCCCCCGTCCCCCCCAAAACCCAACCCAACAACAATCCAGCATCCCTTTAAGCAGGTGTTTTAACTGCCAAACACCATTTCTAGCTCTTGGGTTTGGAGTCAATTCAACTCCAGAAATACCACATGTACCACTAGAAGATTCTCAGTTGAAAGAGCAGCTTATGAATAAAGGAAAACATTATGTATGTGTATGTATTCCACATGTAAACATACACACATATAATGTATATATACATTATGTATTATGTTTATATCTAAAATATTATATGTAATGTATATATAAAATACTATATGATATAATACACACACACACATATATATACATAAAAATAAATTCCCTGTAGCCAGAAAGTGGTATTCCCTTATTGTTATTGTCAAACATTAGATGAATTCTGATGTGTCTGGTGCTGTTTTTGGTCATTAAAGCCAGATGGAGGGGCTGTGCCCCATTAGGAAAAAAAGTGGGAAGAGGGATGGCAGTGATTCCTTATTTGAGAAGGGAATCGGTGGTCCTCCTTTTGACCTACTCCTTCTCTGTTCTGAATATCTCTAAGTGCCCTTCTTGGGTCTTGCACCCTTCTCTCTCTCTCTCCCTGACCTGGACTTTTTTCCCCTGATTGTTTCAGGTGCTGTTCCTATGTTGGGCGCCGAGGTGGAGGCCCTCAGGCTATATCAATTGGGAAGAATTGTGATAAGTTTGGTATTGTGGCTCATGAACTTGGCCATGTGGTTGGGTTCTGGCATGAACACACTCGGCCTGACCGAGACCAGCATGTAACTATCATCAGAGAAAATATCCAGCAAGGTAAGGAAACTTTGCTTTCAAGCACTATCTGATGGGTGGGAAGTGCCATGTTAATCAAGAAAATGAAGTGGGTGGCTTAACAAAGCCAATGAGGAACTTACCCTCATTCTGGGGAGCATTCATCATAGTGGTGGTGAGACATGCAGTGTCCTCTCAGGAGCCCTTTCCAAGAGAAGTTATGTCCCAATTTTGTCGTTTATAACCAAAGAGAAGATGACTTTCTCTGTTTTAAGAGACAATGGATTTGCCTAAAGAAACATCCTCCCCCAGATTCCCAGCTGTCAAGATGATGGATTCACGTCTCATTACTAGTTACATTTCAAAGTTTGGACCTCATCCAATAGATCTGTTTTTTGCCCCTCCATCATGACCGTGTTTCTGGTTTGGACAACATATCTTTAAAAATCCTACATGTAGCTAAATCGCTCTTTTTCCTGGGTCCAGGCCTGTGATTTCATCACGTAGAGATCTTTAGGTGAGGAAATTAATTCAAACTATGCAGATTGGCAACTGATCTGCAAGCTATGGTTTTAATTTGCCCACAGGGCACTGAGAGATAAAATTACTTGTCCAGAGTCACACACCCAATATGTGTTGTAGGCTGTATTTGAATCCAAGTTATCCTGATTCCAAGGCTGGCCTGGTATTCACTACGCTGGGCTGCCTCTTAGCTAAAACACCTGTATAGGCCATTATAGTATCCACAAAGTAGGAACAGGTTAAATATTTCCAAGAGGGCTTTATCTGAGTGGCCAAGACAGAGAAACTTGTACATCAAAATCATGGAGAAATACATCAATTTAGCTTACTTTTTTTTCTTATGGGGAATGTTTCTTTGAATGTATGATAGTCAAAGGGATATAAATAATATATATTGAATGATGGTATGTATAATGACAATATATTACACATAAGTCAAATATAGTATATAATGATAGAATTGCTATGAAAAAAGCTTCTGTTCAATATATTTGCAACTCTCCAGGAGCTTGATTTATCTTTTCGTGGATTTTTCTCTTGCTTCCATTTGTGTGATTGATGCCTTTTTCTTTATATGCTATTTAGGCCCAGCTGATTAAACCCAATCAGTCTCATCACTTTTCAGCTGAAGAATTTAGAGTGATCTTGAGTTTAGAGAGGAGCGAGATGGAAGAATCTGTGCTTTTCTTTCCTGTTTAAAATCTCAGACTTATTTAAACACACACACACACACACACACACACACACACACACCCACCTCAGGTGTATGGTGTGGGCTTAATATGAACCAGGAAGATGATTTTTCTGCCCAATTTTATCTCTCCTCTTTTTATCCTCCAATTTTGCCCTTCCTTAATGACATCTTTGCTTTCCCACGGACCCTAATAGTGTGTATTGTGTCTCAGGTCAGGAGTACAACTTCCTAAAAATGGAAGCTGGGGAGGTGAATTCGCTGGGAGAGACGTACGACTTTGACAGTATCATGCACTATGCCCGGAACACATTCTCAAGGTTGGAAGCGAAGGTTCTGACTGCTCAGTTCTTTATTGTGCCTCTGGCAGGCTGGGTTAGGATTCTTAGTGATTTCCCAAGGGGGTTGTGGTGGGTATCACAGAGTGTACAGGTGCCTCTGTCCTGGATGCTCAGCACCCTCTGGCTTGCAGTGAAATATAATCTAATCAGGAGTCTGCTAATAAGATTTAACCCCATTGTGAGAGCCACTGTTCCATTATCGCTTAATGTCACAACTAGCAAACCGGAAAATGGAAATGATCAAGAGCTTCTGTTTAAAATTTCCAGTGAGTGAGTGGGGGTTGGGGATGGTGGTGAAGGTGGGGGAGGAAGCCTATGGAGGAGTGTCCTTTGCTTTTAACCAGGGCAGCAGTTAACAGCCCTCCTGGAGAAATTAGGTTTGTTTCAGAGTTCAAAGGATTTCAGAACCAGGTAGGAGGGACCTTCAAGGCTGCAGGATCAAAGATTTAAAGCTAGAAAGGACCTTAGAGATCATCTAGGCCAGCCTCCCCAGAGAGAAGTAAAATGATTTGCTCTACGATTACATGGCTAAGAAATGCCCGAGCCAGGAACTGACCCCATGTCTTCTGCCTCCAAACCTAGCAGCATTCTCTCCACTGTAGCAAGCTATGTGTCTTATTTTACCGATGATAAGACTGAGGCCCAGAGAAGTAACATGACTTGTCCAAGGTCACACAGTAGCAGAACTAGGACAAGAACCCACATTTCCCTGACTTCTAGTCACTTTGAGCTACAAGGCTTTCCTTGCTCTCAGATGTATAAGAGCTTCTTACGCCCTAGTCAAAGACTTGAAAGGAAACAAAAGAAAATAAAGCAGTCCTTCTCTTGGACCCTCTTTTCAATTCCTATCTATCTTTGGAATTTATGTAAGAGAAAAAATGTTTGAAAAAATTGCACTACATCCCTCATCCCCCATTAGAACGTAAGGTCCTTGCCAGTAGGGACTGTTTCTTTGTAATTGCATTCTAGCATGCCTAGCACAGTGCCTGGCAACTAGTAGGTTCTTAATAAATGCCTGTTAATTGATTGATCCTGTTGGGCAGGGGTACTGAGACTGGCCAGTGTGGTGGTGTTGGAGGTGGGGAGTGGAATGTAACAGGGACACAAATGACTAGAATACAAGGTGGACTGTGAGAAGTGCTTCAGAGAGGTTCAGGTAAGGTGCTATTTAAAAAAAGATTTGAGGAGGACAGGATCACTTTCAGTGGGGTTGGGGGGTCACTAGGGAAGGCTCCATATTCTCACATTAATATTATAAAAAATGGACAATTTTGAAGACCTTTAAAATCTGATGAATGAAATGAGCAGAAGCAGGGGACCAATTCAGATGAGACAATCGTGTAAAGCCCAATGACTATGAAAATTCTAAGAACTGTGACCAATACAGTGACTCTCCATGATCCCAGAGGACAGATGATGAAACATAGCATCCCCTTTCTGACCAAGAAGTGATGGATTTAGGGCGCAGACATACATGTGTGTTGTTGTTCTTCAGTCGTTTTAGTCATATATGCCTCTTTGTGACCCATTTGGGGCTTTCTTGGCAGAGATTTTGGAGGGGTTTGCTATTTCCTTCTCCAGATCATTTTATAGAAGGAAAACTGAGGCAAACAGGGTTAAGTGACTTGCCTAGGGTCATGCAGTTAGTGAGTTGTCAGAGGTCAGATTTGAACTCAGGAAGATGAATATTCCTGACTCCAGGCCCAGTACTCTATGCATTATGCCACCTGGCTGTTCTCACATATGTATGTGGGTATATGTACATGTACATGTAGATGTACATGTAGTTGTGTGTCTATATGTAGATGCAATGTATATATGTATGCATATGCACATGTATTTGCATACAGCCAATGAGGAGTTTTGTCTTGCTTAATTGTGCATATCTGTTACAAGGAATTTTTAAAAAATCTCTTTTTTCCCCCAATGGATGGGAAGTGGAAGAGGAAATAGATTTCTGTTAATTAAAAACAAATAAAATAGGTAATATGGGTGAGATCACTGTATTAGTTTTGCTTAATTGTTTCACTTCATTCCAAAAGACCTCTCATGGAGTGAGAACAAATTTATGTTTGTTCTGTAAATGTTTGTGATGTAAAAACAAAGCATATCAACAAAACTTTATTTTTAAAGGAAGCATTCATGGAGATAATGTCCCTGGAGGTGAGCCATTTCAGCCTCAATTTTTTTCTTTTGCAAATGAAAGTTGCACCAAGTGGTTTTAAAGTTCCTTCCAGCTCTCTAGTGCTGTGAGTTGGCTTTCTGTGAAACGCAGTGAGAGTTTTAGGTTCCATGGGGAGGCTCAAGCTTGAGGGCTAGTACAAGGGTCTAGCACGCTTGATCTCAGGGGCAGTTTGCAGGATCCTGGGCTTTGCTGCCTCTGAGCTGTAAGTGGGTCAAACAGGATGTGTTCAGTATCAGGGACTGAGATGACCCATGGATTCTGGAAATGATACAGGAGGCAGGCTTCCTATTGGATCTGACTTTATCACATCTGATCCCAATTTAGAGTTCTGAATCAACAAGCCAAGCCTTGGTGTCAGCATGGGATGAGTTCACTACAAAGGTAGGACCACAGGAGTTAGGCCTAGAAGGGGGACTTCAGAGATCATCTAGTCTAACCCCTCATCCTTTTACAGATGAGGAAACTGAGACATAGACACATGAATTGACCGGCTCAAGGTCAAGCAGGGGATAAGTAGCAGAGCTGGAGTGTGAGCCCAGGTAGTCTGTCTGAGAATCCAGTACTCTTTAACAGTTCACAGCTGCTGCTTGGGCATTATAGCCCATTGCTGAGCTGACCCCCTGAGAAATGCCTGTTACTGGAGGAATCATGGGGAGGAATGGAATTCAAGCATGCAGTCGATTTCACTAAGTACTGAAGCCCTGGGATACAGTGTGGGTGTATTCTGTGATGAGCAAACATTGAATAGATCTTTGGAACTGAAGTACCTTCCGAGTGCCTCAAATCAAGGCTAAAGCAAAGCAGTGAGCTTCATCTCCAAGTTCAGTTCCTCCCCCTCTCCCCGCCCCCCCAGCCTTCAGGCTTCTGCAGGCTTTCAGAAAATGGACCTAGCAGGTGAACAGAGCTGAAAGGGACCTCCAAGGCCATCTCTTCCAGCCCCCTCATTTTACTGATGATGAAACAGACACACAGTGATTCACTTAAGCTCATAAGGCTAGTAAGGTGCCAGAGGTGGGCCTTATGTACATTAAGAGAGATAGAGATGTATAGTGGAAAAGCACAAGATTTGCAATTAGAAGGCCAGGGTTCATATTTCAGCTTCTCATTAACTGCGTGAGGTTGAGAGTCAGTGTGCTAGAGTAGAAAGAAAAATGGGTTTGGGGTCAAAAGACCCAAGTTTGATTGATGAATTTTTTTTGGGCTCCAACAGCTTATAAAAAGCATTTACTAAGGTATTGACACTTAGTATATGTATGACCTTAGGTAAAACACTCTTTGGGACTCAGTCTCATCATCTGTAAGATGAGGGGGTTGTACTCTATCTAAGACCCCTGACAGCTCTAAATCTAGGATGCTGTAATCACTAAACCTCATTGAGTTTCAATTTCCTCATTTATAAGAAGGGCATTTTTTTTAACATTTGCCTCATCTGTAAAATGGGGGTAATAATTCTTTCACTACATGCTTCATAGAATTGCACAGAGTTGATGAGACCCTATACAAGTGTTGGCCAAAGTCTTATTCATGGGCATCCTACTTATGTATGTTTTTATAAACTCCTTGCCAGTAGGTATTGTATCATTCTTCGTGTCTCTAATGCCCAGAATAGTGTCTGGCACATAGCTGGGGCCTCATAAATGCTTACCAATTAATGACTGATTATATAAAGGAAGTGACCCTGGGCTCTCATAAAGGCTGTCCCAGCCAATGACATAGCGTAAGCTTAGCTGGGTCCTGTCAAACTTAGAAGCCTTCCAGCAGAGGCACAAGAATGGACAAACGTGTCTGCCATCTGAAGACCAGCCTCACTCCACTCAGAGAGACTCCTCACTAGAGCGCTGACACCAGGTGATGGATTTTTTTTTGGCCCCAGCAGCTTATAAAGGCCATCTGTTAAAGCATTGAGCTGTGGTGCTCTGCATCAGTGGAGGGAGTACCCTCTGTGATGAAACCATGTAGCCTTGGCATATTGAATAGATATTTCAGTATGATTTTTAGCACCTTCAGCGGCTTTGCTAGATGGGTTTTAAATGACCTTGTTTACTGGTACTCCTAATACATTTCATAATCAGGGTGTTTATACCAGTCAAGGCTCTTCCTTTATACTCAGCAAAAATTTCTCTGACTTTATCCTATGTTATTAGCCATAGCAATATACCTCATTTGATGACAGCCTAAGAATACACCTTCCTATAACCCCTTAAGAACAGGATTTCTTCCAGTTGGGAAGGAGATATGTTATTCACAGGGGGAGGGCTGAGAAAAATATCCTCCTCTTCTCTTTCTTGAATATTGGCCAATCACCTTAACCTTTCTCCCTCCAGTTCCTTGGACATTTTCTGCGCATTTTCTGTCTTCACTGACTTTGTGGGATTGGTATCTTTGGGGGTTTAACTGGATAGAACTTGAGGAGATGAGGAGATGGTTCTCTGACACAGGGGTTACTTTGTTTTAGAGAACTCCAATCCAACACGTTTATTCCTCAAGGCATTTGCCAAACTTTTTCTGAGTTTAACAGAATGTAAATGGATTGTCAGACACATAAAGAGAGGTGAATTATTACATTTATTTACTCTGGGGTTACGTTGAATTAGTCACTTTCTAGGACCCAGAGCCATTTAGGTTGCTCTGAAAGTGATGGGGGATTTCCTCCCATATCAGCCATGTGTGGACTGATGTGATCTATGCCATTCTTACACATGGAAATCTCAAATTGTCAGTCAGTCAATGAATGTGTATTAAGCATCTGTTCTGGGCCAACCTCTGTGCTAAGTGCTGAAGATTCAAAGACAGA